GGGTTATGCTACATCCGAATAACATAACAAGCACATTTTTGAACATTTCATTTAATATAAATAGGTAAAATCACCATCTTGTTAGACTGTTTATCTGTAAATATCTGAATATTTATCCATTATTAGTCCAGGATATTACATTGCTGTGTCCTACTCGCAGCCATGTAATTTACCAGATTGAAGATTTTTTCTGCAAAAGAAACATTCCATGTGATACTGTATACATTTTCAACACACAATTTTTAACTGGACTTGTGGATGGGGATGGTTAAGTGAGAGTTCAATGATTAAGTGAGGAGTTAGCTGGTAAAATAAGGTGCTATTAGGTGACGTCAACTATTTTAGCGTAATATTTGAATTTGGAGGCGCGAGTCACTGGCTGTGATCGAAATGTAGAAAGGTGAATTGAACAAAATAACCATTGGAATAATTTAAAGAAATTGAGTTTAATTGAAATATTTATTATTATGCTGACTTTCATCTCACATTGGAGTACAGTACTGGTTTGTCAAGACAAGCTGTCAGTGGTGGATTCATTACGCCTACATTCAAATTTAATTCTGAGTGTGCCATTTCAGCCAATTTGGAGCTGCCATTAATTATGCATTTTGGGGCTGAGGTGGTATAGACACCTACTTGTGTCTTTGGAACCCTCTATTTCAAAACCCTAGATCCGCCAATGAGTTATGGTACCATTTAAAAGGTTTGTTCAGCATTCCAGGACAAAACTTGTCTGCCTCGTTAAGTTTTAGGAGATGCTGTAATTTCTATAGCTTTAAGCGTCAAGTGCACTTTTGCTCACATTTCCATGATGATTTTAGGAGGTTTTTACACGGGCTTTAGTTTAGTGAGCCCTGGCTTCTTTTTAGTGATTATTACAAACTTTCAAGTACTGTGCTGTAGTCGATAAAAAATCAAAACAGCAAACAGAGGGTAAGATTCATGAACTTTTATTGGTATATCGCCCTGCTGTAAATTAGAGCTGAATTATGGTTATGGTTATGGTTTTATATTTATATAGCGCCTTCTACGATCGAAACCGTCTCAAGGCGCTTTAAAAATATATGTAAATAATGTATGGAAATAAATTTGACCGGAAATAACCTAAACTAACCAAACAGAATAACCGACAAAGATAAAAAATAGAATCACACATCATCACACCGTTTCACCATGGAGGATGGTTTCACTGACCGACCAAGGCCGGTCAGCTATTGATTTCACAGTTGTCATAATGATGTGTGTAACTAAATATTGGCCTATCGAGCAACGAAAATGAACGAATGTGAGTGGTCTATAGTGAGTTATAAAGATGAGTTTTCAATCGGCTTTTGAAAATCCCAGTTGAAGGTGCCTGGCGTATTGTGTCATTACAATGCGTTATAATAAACAAAGTGTCTGTAAATGAACAATGTTTAAGCCATGCTCAGGAAAGGAAATCACCCCTTTTCCACCTTTTCTCCCCAGTTTTTTGTATATTCAAAAATCTGTATCGCATTAACTGCTTACGAGTTTTTCATCAAATTTGCTTTTTGTGTCTTAGAAAAATTAGTTGTAAAACATAGGCCTATAAAAAAAATGTCTTTTATAGGCCTATCGCGAGCAGAGCGTAAAATAATTATTGATTAGTTCAAAGTGAGCACTTTAGTTGATGTGAAAGAGCAGCTTAGCTCAGAGCTTCTTAGCTCAGTCGGATAATCCGGTGGTAGCCACCGTGTGAGATCTTTAGGTCCCCGGTTCAATTCCCATCGTTGCCTCTCATGTTTAGCTGGAGGGATGAAATACAAGTTGCAATATCGTACCGTCTTTCGGATGAGACGTTTAAGCCGTTGGTCCCGTCTGCATTTATGACCCATGTGCACCTTAAAGACACTCTTCAGGAAAGGATTGTATGGCGGTGCTGCCCAATTACCACTAAAGGACCCCACTGAAAATAGGCCTGTGTCTTCTTCAAGACTTTTGTGGGCTATCCTTAAAACCAATCCAATACAATCCCAATAGTTAAAAATTGTATATGCTTTATATGTCCGGTAAGCTACGGTACTATGTTTAATATCTTTTTTTTTTATAAAAGAAATGATCGTTAATGTTTTTTTTTTAATCTAGTAGATGAAATTTACGAATAAGTAATATAAATAGTAATATTAACAGTACTTGAAATGTAAGCACAATTCAGTTGTGTTTCGTAAGAGGCAATCAAGTCATCCTGTATAAATCAGAAATTTGAATTGTCTTTTAAAGCTCAAATAAATATATTAATAAATTAGGCTTATTAGGTTGAAACACCATCTAGTCCTATCCGATTAGCATTTTCAACAGTACAATACAAAATACAAAAGTAAGGAATGTGTGGTGTGTGAGAGTTCAGGATAGTGACGCATGTGTTTTCAACCATGGAGTAATTAAAAACTAATACCTCCATGTTTCAACTAAGTATTCGTTTTAGAGCATGCAGTTACTGCGATTTGTAAATAAACTATAATTTAATTCTAGGAAAAAAGAAAATACTCTTTTTAATAAAGGGCAGCAGATAAATAATCCAGTGACCTTGCCCCAAAACCTGCTAAATCATGTGGAATTAATTTTATTATATTCGTATAATCGGTTATTATACGTCTTTAGTACATAATTCTACCCCACCATGATGGAAGTAACACTTTGTTGTTGGGTTTATTGACAGAAACAGGATTAATTGGTAAGTGTGTTCAAAGCTGAAATGTGGATTATAATAAGACATAACTGTGTACACAAAACACAAATCCTATTCAGTGAGTTAAGTTTCTGTCTCGTGGTTATGGGGGTGCTGTTTTGATGACCACTTTACACTCTAAACACTTTAAATTAGTTTCAGCAATACAATACAAATGATTCATTTAATACTAAATTATGAAGTAAAATGTAATTATATAGGCCTAAATACAATAAACGGAAAGGCCACCATTCAGAAAAAATGTTGTAATAATGCAAAACTACAAATATACAGTACAGTGGTGGCGCCAGAGCGGGGGGGGGGGGCTAGTGGGATAGCCCCCCCCCCCCACCGTTGGGGAAGACGAGTACATTTTTTCGGGGAATAACAAATAAAAAAAAAATTATTTAATTATGTAATGTTCGTTTAGCCACCATATTGTTTTATTAAACTATTTGTGTTAATAATAATAATAATAACAATAATAATAATAATAATAATAATAATAATAATAAAAATATTAATAATAATAATAATAATAATAATAATAATAATAATAATAATAATAATAATAATAATAATAGTTCGATGAGACTAAATAAAAATAAATTGCGTTCTGTTATGACAAATGCTCGTTTGGATATAGCCTCATGATGCTTGGAATACATCGTGATAGGTGAACCTCGACCTTGACAGCGTGGTTAACAGATTTCATGCTAAATTTCCAAAATGTAGAATTTCACTTTCAAGAATGAGGATTTGAAAATAAATTAGATGGTTACATTACATACTCTTTGTTTCTTGCATTATTCAAAATGTTTTGGTTTTGGAAGCTGATATTAGAAAACATAGCCTACATTATGAAGTCATATTATAGTAACTCGACGCCTATCATTCAAATAAGTAAAAAAAAAATTGCCATAATACGTCAAATATCCCCCTGGCCCCCAGCCAAGTGAGACTCGTTTCGCTCCACTAGCCCCCGCCCCCACCCCGTCGGGGCCTTTAGCTCCTCCGTCGGGCAGGTCCTGGCGCCATCACTGATACAGTATTACCTTTTTACAAATTATTTTATTATCTCCCGCATGCATGAGCCTTCTTGTAAAAAATTACTTGTTTAGTGTCCACTCATTACGCATTATATTCGAGCAGCGTAGGGGGTATGCGTTTATTAAAACAAAATATTTACACACAATTACCCGATGAGTCATTATATTATTGTTATTAATAAAAAAATTATTGTCGACACTAAAAAATTGAGGGGCCGGGCCGGAGGCTAAACAAGTACCGTATTTTTATTTACATGACCGTATGTTGTTATTTTGTAAAATATTATTTAATCCACGAGATTATATTAAACCTAAAATCTTCCTTTATTTACAGCTTTCAAGTGCAGTGTTTGTTTGATAGTGTAGACAAAGCTTTAGTTTGTTCATGGAGGAAACTGTTTGATGACCTTCAGAGTTTTCGCATGGTTAACTGATAATACGTCACATCCGCTTGGGGCGCGTCATATCTGGGATATATAACCCTATAGTCAATGATCAATTTAAAATTAAGTATTGATAAGATGTCAAACTATACCGTCATAGCACTCATCCTCTCCGTCTACGGAAGCCTCACTATTGCGGCAAGTCCGAGGCCGCACGTTATTTTTATTTTATCAGATGACCAAGGGTACCGAGATGTGGGCTACCATGGTTCGATTTTCGCCACCCCTGTTTTAGACAGCCTAGCAGGGGAAGGGGTAAAGTTGGAGAACTACTACGTCCAGCCCATTTGTACGCCGACAAGAAGTCAACTACTGACCGGAAGGTATCAGGTAGGTCGAAATACTTCTAATTTACAGTACCTTAAAATAAGATTACAATTGTTGATTGACCAACACGGATGTGGGGTTATTCTTTCCAAAAATAGTACAAGTTGTTTTATTCGGATTGAATTTAAGGCTATGAGAGGTGATGTAGTGATTAGCATAATTAATCAACTTTTGTACTTGGCCTATTTAATGAGCTGGTTTGACAGTATTATTTGTAAAATACCACCTGTTGCTGGTTAAGGGTTAACAATTAAACTACATAAATCATTCATATGAAAGTTGGGAAGCGGTTGGCGTCATGGTTGCAGTCCTCAAAATGTATTGTTAAAAAAAAAAAAATTAAATATAATTTTTACTTAAATTATTTCTTCTTCTTCTTCAAGCATGTTATTATTATTATAATACTCTTATTATTATCATTAATAATAATAAGAATGATAACGATAATTATTACTATTATCATCATTATTAACATCATTAATCATTATAAATCAGTAGATAATATCAAACAACAATCGATAATGCACAATGGCGCAAATTGGTATAGCTTCAATAAATTGCTTGTAAATTCTGGCTAGCACAACGAAACTAATGTTAATTAAAAATAGAATATGCCCATTTTCCTCGTTGAATATTCGTGTTGGTAGTAAAACCCTAAAATTAATCAACTTTTGTACTTGGCATATATAAAATAATGAGCTGGTTTGACAGTATTATTTGTAAAATACCACACAATACCTGTTGCTGGTTAAGGGTTAACAATTAAACTACATAAATTATTCATATGAAAGTTGGGAAGCGGTTGGCGTCTTGGTTGCAGTCCTCAAAATGTATTGTTGTTTAAAAAAAAAATTTTTTAATATCATTTTTACTTAAATTATTTCTTCTTCTTCTTCTTCTTCTTCTTCTTCTTCTTATTATTATTATTATTATTATTATTATTATTATTATTATTATTATTATTATTATTATTATTCTACTCTTATTATTATTATTATACTCTTATTATTATTAATAATAATAAGAATGATAACGATAATTATTACTATTATCATCATTATTAACATCATTAATATTATAAATCAGTAGATAATATCAAACAACAATCGATAATGCACAATGTCGCAAATTGGTATAGCGTCAATAAATTGCTTGTAAATTCTGGCTAGCACAACGAAACTAATGTTAATTAAAAATAGAATATGCCCATTTTCCTCGTTGAATATTCGTGTTGGTAGTAAAACCCTAAAATTAATTAACTTTTGTACTTGGCATATATAAATAATGAGCTGGTTTGACAGTATTATTTGTAAAATACCAGACAATACCTGTTGCTGGTTAAGGATTAACAATTAAACTACATAAATAATTCATATGAAAGTTGGGAAGCGGTTGGCGGCTTGGTTGCAGGTCAAGTCTCCAAAATGATTGTTGTTCAAATTATTAAAAAAAAAAATATAATTTTTAATTAAATTATTTCTTCTCCTTCTTCTTGTTCTTGTTCTTGTTCTTGTTCTTCTTATTATTATTATTACTATTATACTCTTATTATCATTAATAATTATAGTAAGAATGATAACGATAATTATTACTATTATCATCATTATTAACATCATTAATAATTATAAATCAGTAGATAATATCAAACTACAATCGATAATGCACAATGTCGCAAATTGGTATAGCTTCAATAAACTACTTGTGTTGGTAGTAAAACCCTCGATTTGGTTTAAAAAAATCCGTTATTTAGAACTTGATATTGATGATAATCTTATCTGAAATTATCATATTCGACAATTAAATAAAACTATTGTGTATAAAATTAACATCCTAAATAAATTGGCAGAAACCCTAAATGAATCTCTTCTTAAATATTATATGAAAGTACAATCCAAACCAAACCTGTATCAGTAATCTAAGTTTGGGGAACAAGTCTAAAAAAAATAAAAACCTAGCTAAAAACCTTGTAATCCCGACCCGAAACCGTGACTCAGAAATACCGTACTCGCGCGAATAAGCGCCCGGGTGCTTAAAATATTTTTTGCACTTTCTGAGGGGCGCTTATTCAAACGGGGCGCTTATTTTAAACGGGGCGCTTATGGAAACAGAGTGGAAATTGAGGGGCGCTTATGGAAATAGATGAAAATCGAGGGGTTCTTATGGGAAATTATTAAATTCAAGAGGCACTTTTTGAATGAAGAAAAATTATATAAGGACATTACGAATGGTGGTTAGAAAAGATAATCGTACAAAGAACATGGCTCATGACAAGAATGCGTGAATATTTACATAACAAAATAGCAGATGCAATTAGTGGTGGTGGGTAGTGGTTAGCTTGTTGGCCATCGGCTGATTGAGATTAGCAGGATGGCAGGATCTTTATATTTTTTTTTTGAAAACTCAAATGAGAATGTGCTAAATGTCGGGAAAAGAAAAAGAGGAGTAGGACTAGGCATAGAGAAATATGTAAAAAGAGTAAAGTTTGAAATACACTGTCTGTCCAGGGATCGGAGCTCTCATCTCTCCAAGAGCAATATATTCATTTTGATATATTGACCGAATATAATAATATTTTAGTTAGTCTTCTTAGTAATTAAAATGTTTTTTTTTTTTTTTTTTTTTTTTTTTTTTTTTTTTTTTTTTTTTTTTTTTTTTTTTTTTTTTTTTTTTTTTTTTTGTAGTCTTTTTGTTTCTTTGTATTATATTTTATATAGTATTGTTGTGGGTAGCCTTTTTGTTGTTTATTTACCACTGCAAAAACAGCGTGCTATCTCGTCTGTATAAGTTTTCCTGCCTAATTATGTTTATTATACAAATAAATATAATAGGAAATATTAAATATCAACATTGTGTGATTTATTACCGTTTTTTTTTTTATTATTCTTCTATTTCTTCTTCCTTTTATTTAAAACAGCCGATGTTCCACATTCCTTTTCAAACGGACTTTTTAGGTGTGGGACTTCTTCCTTCGAATAGCCTAGCGCTTGGGGAAGTTGGGATTAAGAGTACAGTACTCCTTTAAATATGTAGTGAGATGACGGACGTTATATTATCTGGATTATATAAGATTAAAAGTACATTCCTCAACGAAACGTAAATAGAAGGCTAACAGTCATTATATTAGTATTAACTATACCGCCATGGTATTTAGACACGTTCGATGAACGTTACCGGTAGTAGGAAGAATAAAACTTGTACACAGGTATACGGTAAAAGTCCTTGATACGTGTCATATCTCACGCTTTATTTAAAAGTCCTTGATTTATTAAGAATTCTAAAGGTTTGTCGACACAAACGTGAAATTAGTGTATAATATCAATGTCAAGATTGATAAATTTGATGAAATATATAAAACAAAATCATTTGTTATGATTAGACATATGTAGTAGGGTATAAATAAAAAAATGAGCGGGGGTGAGCCTCCTGAAAAAGGGCGGAACATGTTTTTTGGCGGCCATTTTTAAAATGGCCGCTAAAATCAAGAGAATGGCTCATAACTTTACTTCTACTCCATGAAAAAGGGT